ATAACCTATTCCTAAATGTGTAAAAATCCACTGGTGTTTCAGAAAGGACTTAAGAAAATTATAGGCAGAAGAAACAGATCACATGTCATTATATGTTTAATGATATGCAAATGCTAGTAAATTATGACCTCATTACTCTTCTTTCTTTACTGTTCTTTGAACAGATTCAAACAATTCAAAATAACAAATACATTTTTAGTGCTGAGATATAACAATAATAAATTTGAAATTGAAAATCATACATATATTGAATTACATCTTGAATTTCATAGATAATAATTTTATCATAGTAGACAAAATTGCAAACTTCTTTTTTTTTTTAAGATTTCATTTATTTATTTGACAGAGAGATCGAGAGAGAGCACAAGTAGGCAGAGAGACAGGCGGAGGAGGGAGAGGGAGAAGCAGGCTCTCTGCTGAGCAGGGAGCCCGATGCGGGGCTCGATCCCAAGACCCTGGGATCATGACCTGAACAGAAGGCAGACGCTTAACCAACTGAGCCACCCAACCACCCAAAATTGCAAACCTCTGATAGCTCAAATATTTTGTTTCTACTTATGTGAAAGGCAGTGGGTATTTTCTTACATGGGTTAGATAAGCAAACAAGGACCAGTTATCCAAGTTGTATCCACATCCTGCAGAAACTACACAGTTATGTTCTCTTCCATGTGGACTGACCAATTTGAGTTGCTGGAAAAAATGATACTAAAATGATACATGGAGTTTAAACCAAGTGAAATTACCTGATGATCACTGAGCTTTCCAGAAAGCAGAGAAACAAATGATGCAAACTGAATTTCACTTTCATTTCTAATTTATAGGGGATATTTCTTGTTTCTTGGATAGAAATCACATTACAGTACTTCGCTCTTTGGGAGTGGCAGTTAGCTGGGAAACTACAAGGTTCTAAATAGAACATGATCGACATCTAGTGGCCACAGGCAAGGCCTCTGTGTGATTTTTCTTGGCCAGGGACAGATGATGTAGCAAAGAAAGGATCTTTGGGGAAGGAAGATGAATTCTTGAATGGCTTTCTTCTCCCTCACCCAAGGTTGACCTAATTTTGCCATTGCGTATTCCTGCAAACAAGGGGCATTCAGCTAATGCAACTAAATAACATGAACTTAGTCACCTTGTGCTCCATCTTTAAGCTGTATGAAATGCCAAAGAATAAAAGAAATGAATGGTCAACTTTTTTTTTTTTTTAAGTTGAATCCAATCAGGTGTTTATATTATGAACAAAGAACAACATAGGACATTCCTCATTTCTTTTAAATTAACCTCCTGTTATTCTCCCCCATAAGTGTCTGCCCAGAAATGTAAATAAAACAACCCAGTCAGAATTGGATTTTTCCAGAATATTATTTTCCAGAATAGTCCTTGGTAGCCACTTCTGGCTGAAGGAAAGAGAAGGGAGGTAGGGATAGGCAGGGAGGATCTCCACAATGTCCCCCCGACTGCTGATCTAGTAAACAACAAAATGAAAACACCCACAAGGTGCATTATTTCAGAAATTAAGGAGGTAATATGTGTTCTCCTAGTTGGTATTAGGCATCTTACGCAATAGTACAAACATGTGCTAAAAGATCCCAGGAATTTTTGTTGGTTTGTTTTTGTGATATGGGGCAGGTTGTTTGTGTCAATGAACATGTGTTATTTGTGTGTGGGTGTGACTGTTGGAGGAACAGCCTACCGATGCATGGCAGGGTCACCCGATGGATTTAGACAAAGAAGTCTCTTATCACAAAGGCCTTGTTGGGTCAGGGTGTTACAGGAGCTGTCGTGTTCCCATAGCAACCTGTGGATGGGTTTAGCCAGGAAAGAACAGAGACCCCATGCATAAATGACAGAATGATGACAGTGTTGGCTAGACTAAAGGAGGCCCAGGGCGAGATAAAAGTGTCGCAAAAGGAAAGACTTACATGCCATGCACCACAGATTCTATTTTAGAATTGGTACTGCATAATTCAAAATAAGTAAGTCAAGTTCACAAGGTCAACAGAGGCAATTGGTAAATAATTGTTTATCTGATCCTAACATTAAAGAATGGAAACATAATGTCTTGGGGAGAATTTATGGCTTAAATAGCAAAGAGAAAATGGAATAAATGAGGTTGAGGAAGCTGATTTGCTCGGGTTGCCCCTACGGAGATGAGGCTGTATCATTTGATCTAAACGAGGTGGTTATTTTTTATGTGTTTTATGTGTTTTATGTGTTTTATGTGTTTATGTGCAGGCTCAGTTGGTTAAGCGACTGCCTTCAGCTCAGGTCATGATCCCAGGGTCCTGGGATCGAGTCCCGCATCGGGCTCCCTGCTCTGCAGGGAGCCTGCTTCTCCCTCTCCCACTCCCCCTGCTTGTGTTCCCTCTCTCGTTGTGTCTCTCTCTGTCAAATAAATAAATAAAAATCTTTAAAAAAAAAAAAACAACAGATGAGGTAGGAAAAATGGAGGTTTTAAAAACCTGTGCTCAGTTTCCTCACTGGCCTATCTAAGATGTCTGAGTTCATTAGATTAAAAAATAGGTGCGACTGGGTGGTGCAGTCAGTTTAGTGTCTGAATCTTAATTTTGGCTCAGGTCATGATCTCAGGGTCATGAGATCGAGCCCCATGTCGGGCTCCCCGTTCAGCGGGGAGTCTGCTTGAGATTCTCTCTCTCTCTGCCCCTCCCCCACTCCCTGCACATATGCTCCTTCCTCTCTCTCTAAAATAAATAAATAAATAAATCTGAATAAGGAAATTAAAAGTCAGAAATTTAAACAAATTAAAAATGGGTGTCCACCCCTCTATTCATGGTGAGGTCCACAGTGTGTATCTCCTCAGCCTTGTGAACTCCCCGGAACAGGCACTATTGAGAATGTGCCCCAGAACCAGAAAAAACGGAGGCCCTTAAGTTACCTTAAGGGATGTGTTTAGCCCCCTGGAAAAGTAACCCCAGCAGTGGTGTGCTGGGGCCAGCTCCTGTCAGCTCACGTTGCCACATTCCTACCCCAGTGTCCTGGGGACTTCTCTATCTCTTGGGTAGCTTTCCACTAATCCTGATAGAGATCAGAATAACTAATAATGAACATCTAGAAATCTCATCACCTTCTACAAAATGGTTTTCACACCTACTTGTTAAAAGCAAGTGTTACTCTTGCCCCTGCAGTGTATGGAAACTGAGCCTTAGGGAGAACACAAAAATTCTTTAAGGTCAAACAGTGGGTGGTCGGTGGTGTTCCAGTCTGGGTCTTCGGCCAACAAGTCCCAGGTGATAATAGCTATAGGGTCTTTCTCCTTCCAGACATACTTACAGGTTAGTGGAGGACTGTAATTAGGAACTGGAGAAGCTTTTCAAAACTGAAGGATTAACTTTCCAATGGTGGGACTGTAGAAAATTTTGGATCATATCTAGAGTGCTTTGCCCTAAAATCAGGACATCATCCTGCCACCATGGGTTCTCTGAGACCGGCCCTGCTCAGACAGGATGGATAGGCTGCTCGAAGGTTTTGGCCACCTGTTCATTTTTAACCTATCCTACAACATTCTAAATCAGTGATCCTGTTGTTAATCATTAGGTAGGACATTCTTATTAAGGGTGCCATGAATTTGTATTTGCTCCATCTCTTTATATAACCAACTGAGGAAAAGTCTTAACCAGCTCTCTGTAACAGATGAGCTTAGTTACTATCCATATGATTTATTATATTTCCAGAGGCATTCATTAATAAAACAACTCTCCTTTTCCCCCTTATCCTGATCTAAGTCCAATGACTCTCCTGAACAATTCTTCATGCATATAAACCTTTTGCATCCCTAAAGAAAGAAAGGGTAGAGATGTTAAAAACAAATAAACAAAAAAATAAGCATAAAGGAGGAAAAGCAACTCTGGAGGGAAGTCAGGATTTGGGGGTTCAATCCTGGCCCTGCTTCCAACTAACTGTATGATCTTGGACAAGACATTTAATCAGTACCTGAGTTTTCAGATGTGGGCAAAATTGTTTTTGGATCTCTTAGTTACAAGCATTCAACTTACAGCCTGTCAATAATTTATCAATAATGAATCAAACAGCCTAAACTCTTCATTTTAATGGTGTATCTTTAGCTTTTAAGCATATGTAAATGTATCTCAGTGTAACCAGATAGAATCTATTAATTCTCCAGAAACTTTATGATCAGAAAAATACAAAGAACAGAGAATACACAAGTGACCTCAAAGCAAGGTGGTTTTCTCTTGTGTACCTAAACCATCACAGAAAACCTTAATAGAAAATGTAGTCAGTTTGTGTACTCACTGTTTTTATTATTGAAAAGATATAGTCTTTCTTGTTCCCAGGATGTTTGTTTTCTAATGTGAGGGCATGACATGGTACCAAGACATTTGCTATCAGATCATTTTGCAGGGAGGGGAAGTAGAAGGAACAGATAGGAAACAGGAAAGAGAAAGAAGGAGAGAATGTAGTGTATGATAAAAAAAAAAAATCCTTAAAAATCTGGAAAAATACTCTGGTTCATAAAAATGTTTACTTAATGAATGCCTGCTTAAAACTAGGGAGAGTAATTTCCACAATGAAAAAATATAAACATGAAAGAATATATGATATCAAGAATCTCTAAATATTCTAAGTCCAAAAAGAAGTCCCCGACTGTAAGATTTAATGGAATAAGTTGTCTATAATATGTCTTTTATTTTTTATTTTTTATTTTTATTTTTTTAAAGATTTTATTTATTTATTTGAGAGAGAGAGAATGAGAGAGAGCACATGAGAGGGGGGAGGGTCAGAGGGAGAAGCAGACTCCCTGGCGAGCAGGGAGCCCGATGCGGGACTCGATCCCAGGATCCAGGATCATGACCTGAGCCGAAGGCAGTCGCTTAACCAACTGAGCCACCCAGGCGCCCTATAATATGTCTTTTTGTCTAAACATTAAACTTCTGGTAATTTCGGCTATGTTGTGCTCAACTATAAATTTTTTTTAAAAAAATTATGATTTTAAAGAAACTAAAGAAGGTCTCTGAGCAGCTGAAAGAGCATTCATGTGGCTCAGAGCTTTATATCACGGAAGAGGCCTTCAGACTCCTATTTACTTTTTCTTTATAAAAGGTCTTACCAGGTTTCCAAACTGATGTAAGCTTCATAAGACTTCATGAGACCATTTCTTTTGTAACCCCAGTACTTAACACAAAGCCTAGTACATAGGGGGGGCTCAATAAATATTTGTTACCTAATGAGAAGATTAGAAGCAGTATGTAGTAGTTAGGGTTGTTGGAGACAGATACATACAGTTTAGAAAAGTGATAGTTGGTGGTCTGAAATCCATGAAAGAGTGACAAAAATCATGAAAACCAGACACGAAGCTCACTGAATCAAGGACACAGAGTTCCATACATCTACTAACCTCTAAAAGGTTATAGCATGGATAAAAAAACAAAACAAAACAAAACAAAACAAACCAATTGCCATCGATAATAATGATCTAGAGTCATTAGGATAATATCAAATTTTGTTTAATATTCAATTTAATAAAAGTCAGGGAACCATACAATACACTTCTAAAAGATTTTCATTGAAGAGGATTAAAATATTCAATTGGAACACTTCATCCCCTCCCATGCTTGATTTCCTCTTCTAAATGTAATCTTGATGATATGATACTGTGTACCTTAAAAAAATTCTTTGCTTCTATTCCAGGATTTCTAATTCCACAGTGTCTCTGGTAGACACTGAAAGTATGTTTTTTCTTTGCCCTTTTGAGTTATTAAGCTTCCCAGTACAGAATTTTAATATATTCCACATATCAGATCTTCCTGTTTCAGTGACAAAACAGTACAGAATTGGATCTGCAACACAATTTAAACTTGTTAATGCAACCGTGATTCTATACATTTTATAAATCTGCTTCCCAGACTTGTGGTCTTTAAAAATAAGTTCACTGAAGTTCCCATCATGCTCTAAGATGCTGCGAATCAGCAGCAACACATGAAAGGGAGTAAAGCACAAGACAAAAGTCAATGTGATGCTAACAAGGAGTTTTATGATTCTCTTCTTTTCACTGTTTTCCGTGGCTTGATTATGCTGCACGGCTTGGTAGACCTTCTGGTTGGAAATCATGATAATGACCAACGGTATTGCATAACCTGTACATGTCCTAAAGAAGTTGAAACGGATTTGCCACTTCTCCAGGGGGTACTTGTCATAGCATAAGGTAAAATTAGACTTCTTGGCATCACAATATTCTATAGTTGTTTCATCTTCCCACAGAATAATACCATTGAACATGGTTTCCAATACCCAGATGGATAGGCTGACCATGAAGGCAAATCTTCTTGTCCTTAAAAAAGAAAACCTCAAAGGGTGGACCACAGCTAAGTACCGATCGACGGCGATGCAGGTGAGGAAGGCCGTGCTGCTGTAAAAGTTCATGTACATGAAGAATGCGCTCCCCTTGCACAAGGCAGGAGAGAAGGTCCAGTTGTCATTATTCCAAGTGTAATCAATCCATAGAGGGAGAGTTAATGTGTAGAGCAGATCTGAGAGTGATAAACTGAAGAGGTAAATTCCTAGCTCATTCTCCTTCTTTGCTTGCAGAAAAGACACACATAGAGATCCGATGTTGGCTGGGACACTGACTATGACCACAAAGATGTAAACAATCGGAAATAAATAGTGATCCAGGTCGTGCTGTTCTTCAATACACGTGCTGTTCATTTTCTCGTATGAAGGTGGGAACTACATTTGTTCTTAGGAGGTAAATAGCAAGGTCAGTTTTGTCTCCTTCCAGTTTGTTTTTAACATCTTTTTTATTAAAATGTGTCCACTTTTCTTCGCTTTCAAAAGCTTTGATGCATTCATTGGTGCTTTTAAAGGGTGGATGTAGACCAATTTTCACAAAGATATCAATGGTTGGAAGTCAGAATCCAGCCTCCTGACAGTTAGTCACAATGGCCAGTGGATTTTAATGAGCAGAAGTCCACGTTCTTATTATCACAGAATGCTGATGAAGAACCCTCAGGGACCAACCGGGTCATCCCTCAGCATCCACAGAGTGTTGTCCCCATTTTGTTTTTCTTCACAAAACTCAGGAGATTGGTGCACACATGAACATAGAAGGCTTTGTTTTCACAGAGATTAACATCTCTTTTTACCATGCCTTTGTTTCTGTAATGAAAGATGAACTAGAATAGTTTAGATGTTTAGCAGATGCATCATGCTTTTGAAATAATCTTCTTTTCCTTCATTTCTTGAAGATATCAAAAATGTATTAAATTATAACAAAGGTGTTTAAAAAGGGAAATTATTTAATTGACTTCAGTGAATGAAATCAAGCTGAGAAATTTTAGTCTATTTCAAATAAGAATTACCCACAAGGTGAAAGATTAGAGGGAATTCTATTTCTCACCGGACATGATCACAAAACTAAAGTTACAACGTTATTTTCGGAGCTAATAAAAATGGCAAGTGTAATGATTTGTTTGTAATCAGTAAATGCTTTTGAGTTGTATGATAAACTGTATAGTTACATGATTTCAAATGTTTAATTTCGTATGCAATCTAGGTATGAGGCACTTTCACTATCCGCTTATTAGCCGAGAAAATATTGTCACAAGAAATTTAATGAAGTGAAATATTTTAGAATATAGCAGCTTGCTAAAACTTCATAAATAATTAGACAACACTACCTCTTTTGTTTTCCTTTTGCTTCCTTCATGGGTACTTTATCTTTCCTGCACTTTTGTGAAAGAGAGGGCAGAATATTCTTAATTCTGGGCAAGATCTTGTCATTATCAGTGTCTACCTTTGTACCTGATTGTTTATTAGCTTAGTTTTTTAAAGGTCTGATGTTATAGATTCACATAGGAGCAGAGACCCCATCCTTCTCTTCATAGTAGAGTAGAGAAATACTTCTGTCTCTATTCCTTTGCTAGTGAGGCCTATTAGTGCTTTGGATGATTTATGTGATGGGGAGCTTCACAGGACCCTCTGTAGAGTAACTATGCAGAGAACTTGTTGTGTGCTTGATGACACCCAAACCACCCATTTCCAAGTATGAGTGAGCCCTGAGCACCACCAAGGCCTTCCCACCACAAGTCCACAAGGGTTCTGCTAGAAGAAAAAACCATATTCAGAGTATCTATTTATATGTCACTCTTAAAACAAAGTGGAGAACTAAAATTCTCCAAGTCTTCTTGTTTTACCACACCTAGAAATATGAACAAAATGTGAAAAAACAACCTTTTAAATCAATAGGTGAAACTTCCAGAGAGGAAAAAAAAAAAAAAAAACTGATGGAAAAAAGGAAGTGGGAGCTGAGATCAGGAAGGTAGGTGAGCAAAAAACTCTGGACGTCTGGAGGCATATGTGGATTGGAAGAAGTAACTAGAGCCTCTAATGCAGAGAAGCTGGAGACGGAGTTCAGACACACGCAGGAAGTGGTTCTCTCTATCCCACACGTGTGGGGATCCTGGAGCCTCTGCTCTCACACAAAAGGTGAACTAGAAAAATGAACCTAAGAAACAACAAACTGGACAGCTCCTTACAGACAGCAGGGAAAGTTGGCAAGTTTCCGTGAGGAGTCATGATGAAAAATCCCTGAGTATTCATGGCCTCTGGCTGGACCTCACTTGGGAATGGGGCCTGAGTCTACACTCTTAGTTTAGTCCTGCGATCTGCACACCAGCCATGAACTCGTGCTGAATCTATGTGCTCAACTTCATCAGTCATCAAGGGAATGCAAACTAAAACCACAACGAGATACAACTACACACCCACCCGAATAAATAAAATGAAAAAGACAGAAATTACCAAGTTGTGGTGAGGATGTAGAGCGCCTGGGACTTTTATATACTGTTGGTTGGAAAATTGTTTTGACACTTACGTATACCCTGTGGTTCAGCAATTCCATTTCTAGGTATATGGTCAACAGAAGTACGTACAAGTGCTACGAAAGACATGGGTTAGAATTAGGATATTCATAGTAGCGTTATTTGTACTATCCCCCAAGTGGAATGAGCACTTGTAGTAGAATAGGGAAGTAAATAGATAAATAAATAGATAAGTAAATATTAACACAATTGAAATCTATACATCCATGAAAATGCACAAATTATTGCGGCATACAATAGCACAGTTGAAGCTCAGAAACATAATGCAGAGTGATAGAAAAAGACTGGCACAAAAGAATATATACTATCTGATTAAAAAGTAGGTAAAGTTAATCTACACTGTTAGAAATCAGAGCAGTGGTCCATTTATTAAAGGCTTTCTATGTGCTAGGCACCATTTAAAATGGCATGCATGTTTTTTATAATTTATGTGTTACTACAATTCTGTGCTATTTATTATAACCTTATATTACAAATAAAGAATTGAGCCACATATTAAGCCATTAGCCCGGAAATACCTATTTAATCATTGGTAGAACTTGGCCACAATCCTAGGTTGGAATGTTAAGTAAAGCCTCTTGACTCTTAACCATTTTGCTTTCTGCTTTTTGCATAAAAATGCCTTAGAAAGCTGAGGTATTGGGCGCCTGGGTGGCTCAGATGGTTAAGTGTCTGCCTTCCGGCTCAGGTCATGATCCCAGGGTCCTGGGATTGAGTCCCGCATCGGGCTCCCTGCTCCTTGGGAGCCTGCTTCTCCCTCTGCCTCTCTCTCTCTCTGTCTCTCATGAATAAATAAATAAAATCTTTAAAAAAAAAAAAAAAGAAAGCTGAGGTATTTTTGCAGCAATGCAGACCAGCTTTGTTGAGAAAGAAGAGAATTATTTTCTATTTTCTACTGAAATAGTGGCACCGATAGATTAGTACAAGTCTTCTAGCCATAATAACAGATCTAATTAAAGAAAATAATTTGTGAATAATCACTTCGGTAAATTGGATCGAAAGTGACCACATGTTTTCTAGAAAACATCACTTTCATATTGTCTGTTAGACTACACAGGCTTCAAATAAACTTGTAAAAATCATCATCTCATATCATGTCTTCGCACTTAGTAACAATGTGCTGTTATGTGCCCATAGATTTCTTTTCTGTAATGAAGAATGTATCGGATTAACTTAGGCTCTAATTTTTCCTGCACTTGATTTGAGAAATAGATGGCTAAAAGGAGCATATATCCTGCTACCATACTCAAAACAATTTCCCAGTTCTTAAGATTCATGAGGCTGAGCTTCGAAGAGTCTATTGTTGAGTTCAGGAATCCTCTGTGAACTATTTCAAGGTTGAAATTAATTATCTTTCACCACTCATAATGTGGTAAGGAAGAAAATGTAGATAAAACCGATTGTGAGATTGATCTATATGTAGCATGATATGTCTGCAATGTTGCAAAAATCATGTGTTGTTGATGCCCGCATCTATCTTGTCAGTCCAGATGCAAGAACAAACCCTACCTAGAGGGGAGCCTGGGTGGCTCAGGGTCCTGGGATGGAGCTCTGCATCAGGTTCCCTGCTCAGTGGGGAGTTTGCTTCTCCCTTTCCCTCTACACCTCCCCCGCTTGTGCTCTCTCTCTCTTTCTCTCTCTCCTCACTCTCTCTCTCAAATAAATAAATAAAATCTTAAAGAAAAAGAATGAACCCTAGAGGTTATACCACCCGCAGGTATGGCTGGGCCCGCCAGGGAGCCTGTAGGAATGCGACCCCGTTAGCTTACAAGTAGTTAATCAGCACTACCTTAAATATATAATTACTAAATGTACCAAATGAAATCTCTAACAGAAGGGATAAAGATATTTTTCAGAATCTAAGTCTCCTGAGATGGAAAAGACCTTCACGGGGCTGGATGAAGCAGGATCAGAGCACCTGTTAACATGACCTCATGGGCCTCCACTCAGTAGTGTCCGCCTTTGGGACACCTGGGTGGCTCAGTGGTTTAAGCATCTGCCTTTAGCTCAGGTCATGATCTCAGGGTTCTGGAATTGAGCCCCATGTCAGGCTCCTTGCTCAGCAGGGAGTCTGCTTCTCTCTCTCTCCCTCTCCCCCTGCCCACCGCTTACTCTCTCTCTCTCAAATAAATAAATAAAATCTTAAAAACAAAACAAAAAAAACGGTGGCCACCTTCTCAGGAGACCCCTGCTAGCATGATCTCATGGGCTTCCACTCAATGATACCCACTTCCTCAAAGACCCTTGCCCCAAATTTTGCCCTTCGAGCCCTCACTTGCCAGCCATTGGGGAGCTCAGGACTCTAGACTATTAGCTCCCCATTCTTCTGGGTGGTGTCACACTAATAAATAGCCTACCTTTCTTCACTGCAAAACTCAGTGACAGTTTTAATTGGCTTGCTGCCTATTAGGTGGACAAACCTTGTTTAATTTGGTTATAAAGTATCATATTAAACATTTAAATATCAGAAAAAAAAGAAGTCAGGTAGTGGTTACTTTGGGGGAGGGGCCGGGTAATGACTGGAAAAGGGCATGAGGGGGACTTCTGAGAATTTGTCATATTCTGGTTTTGCTCTGAGTGTTCATTCCATGAACGTGTTCAGTTTGTAGACATTCATCAAGCTGTATACTTAGGATATGTGCATTTTTCTGCATTATGTTATATTGCAATTAAAAAGTTAGAAAGTAGAATCAAAGGCTCTGTGGGATGAGCTATAAAGAATCTTGACAGCCAACCATCATCTAAATTACCTGCAGATGGAGCATATAGACCTTCTTAAGAACTGATAAGATTTTATTTCTTTTCTCACATATAAAAAGAAATTCATAGAAACCAAAGCAAACAATAAATAATGTAAACAATATGAAAATGAATTGGCCAAAAATGAAAGTTTGCCATATGAAAAAACAAACATCCTAGGCACCTGGAAGAAGTAAATACAAATCATCCCTTGAGGAAAGTTCTCTCAACCTAGGCTTCAAAGAATTCTCTCAGAAGGAATGGATGGTTGCCAGAAGGGAGGGGGCACGAGGGTGAGAAAGCTGGGTGAAGAGGAGTGGGAGATACAGGCTTCCAGTTAAGGAATGAATAAGTCACAGGGATAAAAGGTACAGCATAGGGAATAGAGTTAGAGTTACTGTAAGAGCCTTGTGTGGTGGTGACAGAGGGTAGCTACACTTGCGGTGAGCATAGAATAAGGTATAGAGTTATCGAATCACTATGTTGTCCACCTGAAACTAATGTAACATTGTGTGTCAACTATATTTCAATAGAAAATATTAAATAAAAAAAGAATCCTCACAGAGTTCTAACAAATATGAGTTCATTAAAACACACACACACACACACACATTAACCACTATAAGATTCATCAAAAAATGAGGAAGATGAGTAGCAGATCCACAAGAGCTTTAGAATAAAATTAATAGATATACAACACAAAACAAGTATGTTTAATAAGAAATAAAGGAGGGGCGCCTGGGTGGCTCAGTTGATCAAGCATCTGCCTTGGGCTCAGGTCATCATCCCAGGGTCCTGGGATCGAGCCCTGCTCAGCTGGGAGTCTGCTTCTCCCTCTGCCTCTGATCCTCCCCACCCCTCTCATACTCTCTCTCTTCCTCAAATAAATACATAAAATCTTTTTTAAAAATAAGAAATAAAGGAAGGAATTTAAACTCATGAGTAAGGAACAAGATGTAAGGAACAAAGATGAATTGGCATATTTTTAATAAGATTGAAATAAACTTTCCAGAAATAAAAAAAATGTAATAATTTAAATTTAAAAAATCAACACAGGGACTAACTCGCTGATGAGCGTTAGTTGAAGAGAAAACTAACATACTGCAAGATAGATCTAAGGAAATCATATGAAATTATCAGAGTGTTAAAGAGACGGGAAAAAAACCAAAGAGCCATGGAGGATAAAGTGAAAAGGTCCACATATGTTTAATTAGAGTTCCATAAGGGACAGAAGAGAGAAAATAGGGAATGTTTGCAAAGATAATGACTGACAGCTGTCCAGGACTGATGAAGGACATGGAATCCTCAGATTTATGAAACCCAGCAAATCCCAAATAGGATTAAAAACAAAGATGGAAATCTACATTCCTTAGACACACTGCAATGAATCTGCTGAACCAAGACTAAGAAAAAAAAAAGGGCCAGAGAGAAAAAATAGAGTACCTATAAAGAATGAACTGTAGAGTGACAAAGGACTTCACAGAAGTAATAACAGAGACCAGGAGACAGTGGGTTGATATTTCCAAATGGCCATGAAAACTTATGTCATCCTATAATTACATACCCAACAGAACTAAATGTCAAAACCAAAGCAAAATTAAGGACAGTTTAAGATAAACTACCACTGAGAAAATTGACCCCAAAATCCTCATTAAAAGGACTTCTAAAGGATACAAGTGAAGACAGAAAATGACACTAGAAAAAAGTCTGAGATGCACAAAGAGTTGAATAAGCTACGGAGGATGGAACCCTCTCCGATGGCTGCACAGGGTCCCACCTATCACTAGGCTCACATGTCTGGGAAGAACACCTCAACCATGAAAATATCCTTCCTTGGGACCAGGACTGAGAGGTCAGGGCAGGGGTGGGGAGGGGCTGGCAGTGGGTGCCCCTTCCTCCTCTATTCATCTTAATAAGTATGCATCTTTTCTTTTAAGGAAGAAAAAAAGATGGATAAAAGGGAAACATAAATTTAGGAGGATTTATAAAGTTGGAATGAATTTCTTTCTCTGTAAAAACATTTCCAACCTTGACTATAACCATCACAAGATCAAATAGTTTGATGAAGCAGATACAGAGTGTCCTCTCTTGGATAACAGAAGCAGTGGTAATGAGGTTGTCGTTATGCGTGTGGCTCTGGAGACTTTTTGAAAGGCTCTCACAACCCTTGGGGGATTTGTGACATGGTGCTTCTTCTCTAAGTTTCAGTCTTCACAGGTAAAATTAACACCCACTTTAGAGAGTTATCGTGACAATAAAGTGAGAACACACATAACGTTCATGGCACATGGGAGGCCTTCACTATGTATTGGACGATGGTACTGTTTTAATGACACACTGCTAGTCTGCAGGTGTCCTTGTGCTATTCCCTACATGTCCTGAGAGGAGATCATCTTCGGCCATCTACCCAGAACATAGCGGGGACGCCAGGGGCACTCAGAGTGTAATTTGTACAGCAACATTTCACATATGATACCAAGCTCGGCAGATAACAGCTGTCGAATTAATTTGTGTGAATCTGAGATTTTTTTTGCTTCTGAGATTTTAATGGAATACATAGTTCTTATTATTCATACCTCTTTTCAGATATCATTTTTACTACTTTAATAAAATTTTGACAAAATTGTTTTTAGAACCAGTGTTGAGAAATTTGGATAAGTTTCTAATTTTGACTTGAATTTTTACCAAATGCCAAAAGAAGATAATCCCCAGTGTATTAAAATATATCTATTATTGGGCGCCTGGGTGGCTCAGTTGGTTAAGCGACTGCCTTCGGCTCAGGTCATGATCCTGGAGTCCTGGGATCGAATCCCGCATCGGGCTCCCTGCTCAGCGGGGCGTCTGCTTCTCCCTCTGACCCTCCTCCCTCTCGTGCTCTCTGTCTCTCATTCTCTCTCGCAAATAAATAAATAAAATCTTTAAAAAAATATATATCTATTATTAACCAGGTCCTCAAATAGTACAAATCATTGATGACAATGTTTTCCTACAGGATAT